TCGCTATCTCATCTGCTCGCCCCAGAGGGGGTGGGGCCGGACAGGAACAAGATGGCTGCCTGCCTCCGAGCAGGCAACCGGATCCCCACGCCAGGCGGACAGGACAGTCTCGGACGCAGGAGCGGTGGCAGCGATCCCAGCAGATCTTCCCTGAAGCGGTTTGGTGTGGATCTCCTCCGGCCGGGTTGTGATGAGCTACCCGTGCCCGAGGCCGCAGCGGCAGCGGCGGCGGCGGCGGCAGCGACGGGAGCGCTGGTGGGGGGAGGGGCTGCGGCAGCCACGGGACAGTGCAATGCAGTAAAACTGTCCAGTCCTTGCGATGTTCCAGCGATAGTGATGGCCGAGCTCTGTCTGAAGAGCAGGCTGCAATGCTGGGGTCCCCAGCCTCCCGGGGCGAGAGTCAGAGACCCACTGCAGATCTCCCTTGTAGAGGGCTTCAGACACCGGGTTGCCCGGTCGCCATCTTGCCGCCGACTCCCTGCATTTTCTAAAGTTCTTATGGCTTGAAGTTTTACATTTAGGTCTCTGATCCATTTAGAGTTAATTTTTGTGTTTGGGGATAGATAGAGGTCTTGTTTCAATCTTCTGCATGTAATCAGCCAGTTTTCCCAGCACCATTTACTGAATAGGTTCTCCTTTCCCCAGTGGTGGGTGGTGGAGGCTTTGTCGAAGATGAGTTGGTTGAGAAATTGAGGTTTTGCTTCTGGAATCTCAATTCTATCTCATTGGTCTATATGTCTGTTCTTGTACCAGTACCGGGCTGTTTTGATTGTTGTAGCTTTATATTAAGGTTTAAAGTCTGATAGTGTAATACCTCCTGCTTTGTTTTTTGTTGTTGTTGTTTTGCTGAAGATTGTTCTGGCTATTCTTGGTTGTTTGTGTTTTCATATGAATTCCTATGCTGTTTTTTCTAGATCAGAGAAGAATGTTCCTGGTAATTTGATGGGTATTGCATTAAATTTGTAGATTGCCTTAGGTAAGATGGACATCTTCACAATGTTGATTCTTCCAATCCATGAGCATGGGATATTTTTTCACTTGTGTCATCTTTGATTTCTTTGAGCAGTGTTTTGTAGTTTTCATTGCAAGGGTCTTTCATGTCTCTGGTTAGGAAGATGCCAAGGTATTTCTTTTTTGGGGGGGCTATTGTGAATGGGATTGTGCTCTTTATTTGGGTTTCTGCTTATTATTGGTGTAAAGAAATGTGATTGTCTTTTGCACATTTTATACCCTGAGACTTTGCCAAAGTCCTTTATCAGTGCAAGGAAGTTTTTGACAGATTCTCTTGGGTTTTCAAGGTATACAATCATGCCGTCTGCAAAGAGAGAGAACTTGATTTCCTCTTTTCCTATTTGGATACCCCTGATCTCCTTCTCTTTTCTCATTGCTTTAGCCAGGACTTCCAATACCATATTGAACGGGGGGGAGAAAGTGGGCATCCTTGTCTTGTTCCAGTTTTCAGGGGAAATGGTTCCAGTTTTTGTCTGTTTAGGAGTATGCTGGCTGTGGGTTTCTCATAGATGGCTTTTACTATTTTGAGGTATGTTCAACGTATGCCTAAATGTTCAAGGGTTTTTATCAAGAAGTGGTACTAGATTTTATCAAAAGCTTTTTCTGCATCTAATGATGTAATCATGTGGTTTTTGTTCTGACATCTGTTGATGTATTTAATTACATTTATGGTCTTACGAATGTTGAACCAGCCTTGCATCCAGGGATAGAGCCTACTAGGTCATGATGGATGATTTTTGAGATGTGTTGTTGAATCCGGTTTGCTAGAATCTTGTTGAGAATTTTAGCATCTATGTTCATCAAAGATATTGGCCTGTAGTTATCTTTCTTTGTAGGGTTTTTACCTGACTTGGGTATCGATGTGATGTTAACTTCATAAAATGATTTGGGGAGAGTTCCCTCTTTCTCAATTTCCTGGAATACTTTCAGTAGGATTGGTATCAGTTCTTTCTTAAATGTCTTATAGAATTCTGCTGGAAAGTCATTTGGTCCAGGGGTTTTTTGTTTTTGTTTTTGTTTTTTGTAGGTAGTTTTCTTATTACATAGTCAATTTCCTTAATTGTTATTGGTCTATTTAGGGTCTCGATTTCTTCTTGTTTCAATTTAGGCAGATTGTGTGATGTCAGAAAGTCCTCCATTTCCTTAAGGTTTTCAAGTTTGTTTCCATACAAGTGTATGTAGTAGTCTCTAATGATCTTTTGTATTTCTTCAGGGTCAGATGTGACTTCATCTTTTGCATTTCTGATAGTGTTTATTTGGGCTTTTTCTCTCTTTTTCTTGGTCAGTCTAGCTAGGGGACCGTTGATCTTGCTTATCCTTTCAAAGAACCAGCTTTTTGTTTTGTTGATTTTTTGTATTATCTGTTTGCCTTCTATGTCATGAATTTGGGCTTTTATTTTGGTCATCTAGATTCTTCTGCTGAAGTTAGGGTTTTGGTGGTCTTGCTTTTCCAGCTTTCTTAGGTGACTTGTTAGGCTGTTAATTTGTGACCCTTCCATT